GTACCAAAGATCCTCTTCATTTGTCATATTTACTCTTCTTCTTTTTCCGACTTTCATGTTCTTTTCCGGACCCTCGATGTGATCGACTGGGAGAGTCCTTTCTTCTGTGTTTGTGATGCTTCGAATGTCTCTTGCTGCTACTCTTTTCACGAAAGCTCCCCTTTTCTTTTCTTCTCGACTTCGAACGGTGTCTATCTCGATAATCACTCGACTCATTTGAAGTATCACTTCCTGAATTTCTGCTTTTACGCCCATGGCTTCTCGATTTTTTTCTCCCTCTTTCATCGTCAGAAGAACTGCTACTCCAACCGTTGCTCTTCCGAGTTTTATGAGAGTAATCAACGTATTTTTCGTCCCGGGAAATCTTCAGATTTTCTTTACTGTCATGTTTTTGCATGCCCGTTTTGGGAAACGCAACAGTGTTTGAACCTACTTGAGGACTTGATAAATCATCTGCTGCTGTGTAAACTGTTTTTTCAACATTTGTCAAACTTCCTGCGAAATTTGGGGCAGCCAACATTTTCTCAGACATTGAAAAGTGGCTACTTTCTCCATCGACATTGATATTTTCTTTTCGAACAGTTTTATTTTCTGGCAGGGGTTTTTTCTCAGGAGGGACCATTAAACCTAGTTCTTTCCCCAATGACTCTAAAAAGTCTCCAGCCATTAAACGATTCAGAGTGGTGTTCGCAACTTCAATCTTCTTTTGTGTGTCTTCCACTTGCTCGGATGTAGTCGTCTCCTCTTCATCATCTGAATCAGAAAAAATAGCCTGGAATAGGACAAGCATTCGTTAGAGACATTATTAGCAGAAAAATCAATAAACATAGCCTTCGGCACGTGGACAAAATTGAAAAATACAGATGGTCACAAATGAATACCCCTGAATTTTTGCCTAATTACAAAAACATAAATCCAGTTAGCATAAAAAACTACGAATAACCCCGACATTTACCTTGTAAAAGCGCAAACCATCAAATCTTGTGATCGATAAGAGGCTTTTTGTTGGTCAAAATCAAATACAATACCATACACAGTTATCTTCTAGCTAATTCTAAAACATGGATGAACCTTCATGCAAGTAGCAAAAACTGCAGGGGTAGATATTTAAATAACACTAAAATAAAATGAAACAGAGATCGAATGTACTTTATAGAGATCAACAGGCCTCTCGACATTTTCAATCTCCACTTCGTCCTGAATTTCCTTGTCAGCTGTTTCCATGCCTGGCTTTCTTTTTTGCGTTTGAGCTACAGATGAAGCTTGCTCATTCACAACATGTTCTTCCACCGTAGCAGTTTTGATAGAATCTGGCATGAAAAGCAAAGAGTCCATTTTGCTCCTCACGCGTGGAGCAGGTGGTGGCTGCATACAGAGATACACATATACGTAACATTGTAAAAACATACTGGCCCAGCCAGAATACAAGGAACATCTATATCGAACAAAATGACCTGGAAAAGAACTCTTAAAACACAAATGCAACTCAAAGAACACTTAATTCTTATTCGCAAAAAAAGTAAGAATGAGGAGATAAATGTTTCCATGCGGCATGCGTTATAAATTCAATTTTTTTTATTTCATATGATCTGAAGTGCAAACAAACTGGCAGGTATTTCATCACGGTGACTATAAAAAGGATCACCAGTGTATTGTTGTATTGTTGTCTGATAAGTCAGACCATGTTCAAAATGTAAGAACACTTAATTCTTATTCGCGAAAAAAGTAAGAATGAGGAGATAAATGTTTCCATGCGGCATGCGTTATAAATTCAA